GCAAATTATCTTTTTGATGAATTGAAATTAGGGAAATTATCATTGTTTTTTGTTGCGTAAGCACATGAGTATGTTTTAGCGTTTCTTAATTTTGTGTGGTAATATTATTAAAGAAATTATTTTAGAGAAATTTTTAACAAAGTCATTTTTTAATTGTCACTTTTAAAAAATACCACATTTTTAAAATTTTTGTAAAAATGCCACTTTTTCAAAAAAAAAATTTATTTGGGTTAATTATGTTGTATTATTAGATTTTATTTTTGAAAGTTTAAGGGATTTTAGGGGTGAAAATATGTTTAGAATTTATAATTTTAAGATTTAGGTTTTAAAAATCCATAATTGGTGGTATTTTTGCAAATGGATATCCCTAAGTGATATTCTTGCAAATGTACACACCAAAAGTGGTATTTTTGTAATTGCCCTATTATTTTAAGGCTGCGAGGAAAATTTTATCAAACATGTTCGAATACAAATTGGATATGCAGAAAATGTGTATTTGATTATTTGTATCATTTTCAAAATATATATAAGATTTCTATTTCTATATTTTTTTATTACAATAACTTAATACATTTACTAAAAAAATATAAGATTTGATACATATGATAATTCTTTAACACAAAAGCTCTGTTTCTTATTCAATCATTTTTATTTACGGGTTAATTTGCTACATAAAAAAAATAGTAATTAGGCAAATGACAAAAAAAAATGGATATTTCATTGCAAAACAATAGGGGTTTTGCCTATTTTTTTGTCACTTCCCTAATTACCATAATTTTTTTTGTTATCAACCCAAATTTCTCTTTAATTTAATTGTGTTTTAGTAAAAAAAAAATTATAACAAAGTAAATGTCGTAATTAAATTGATAAAAAAAACATATATAAGAACTCCAACAATCAAATAAAGATATAACTAAGTTTTTTTCTTAATTTGTTGGACATAGTCCAAACGATATTTAATTTAAAAAGGAGTAAGTAAATTTTTTTTTAAAGGGTTTTCATTAATAAGAAATCAAAAAAGCATAAAAATAAATTGTTTTGACCGGGTTTAACCGAGTCGAACCCAAGTGGGATATGACCAAAAGTTTGACCTAAAGAACAAGAAAAACATATCTAAAAGCCAGCCGCCGCTAAGCCTCGTCAAGCAAAACATCAACCAATCCATTCTAATCTGAAATCCTAAATTTGAAGTTGAAAACGGCACCAGAAAGTTTACTTAATGTCATACAGTACGAATGATAAATGGAGAGAAAGTTTGTTTTTTTGGCCTCTCAAAGATCTTTTATTCTTGGAGTAAGTAACATACTACATAATGAATTCTAACTAAATTATTAATCTCGCGCTAATCACATACGGGTATATTAGTCATATACGGATTACATACGGTTTTAGTATTAGATTATCAATCTCACGCTAATCATATACGGGTTTATTATGTGTTTTTCTCTAATATTTTACAAACCAACGTTCTATCTT